AGTAGAGAGTTTGCCCTGTAAAATCCTTTTCTAATCTATTTTTTTACGTCAATTATTCGCTAAGTAACCAAAGTTTAAAAATAGATGTGCAAATGATATAAAAGGCAATTATAAGCGTTTTCTTTCCGCATTTCTTTAGGCTGAGTGGAAGTGCGTGGCGGCAAACGATTTTGGGCACAGTGTCACATCCTGCTTCTTGAAACTAATCATTCCCAAGCATTACAAAAAACCCAAATTTCTCGAGAGTCTACGCGCAATTTTATCGGAAGAAGGTGCTGTAAATTTAGAGTGCAAAGTTATTGGAATTCCACAGCCAGTTTTAAAATGGTATAAAGACAACGTTGAACTCAAGCCCGGTGATACACATCGAATCATTTCCGGACAGGATGGCACTTGCTGCCTAGGAATATATACCTGCGAAGCTACCAATTGCATGGGAACAGTCAGTAGTTCTGCGTCTTTATTAGGATTTGAAGGTAACTATTGCGTATTGCACATAGCAATTAATTATTAGTTGTATAATTCTTATATGATAATACTTTGTTTATACAAAAAATACAGAAAGTATTTCTTAACGTTTCCGTTATAACTACTTACTTTTACATTAGTATTATAAGCGAGATATACGCGTAACTTTATATGTAACACATATAACTTGATTTAATTTTTACAGATAGAAAAGATGCAAAAGAAATTCAATCGTCCAATGAACTGGCGAGAAATTTGTCGTTGTCAACGATACATGAGGAGCGAACGTCTCAGTTATATGACACACCGCAAACGGACCATTCTGTTACTTTGGATGAACGGGGCGAAGTATCTTTTAGCTTTGACGGCAAGGAAGTGTCAGTCAGTCTGTACGAAACTCCTGATCTCACTGAGGAAGAGGCACTACAGATTGTTGAAATGTACGCCGATCAGCTGTCTGAGCATGTAACAGGTAAAAAAGATTTATTTGATTTTTATTAATTCAGTAAAACGCGTATTAGTACATATTAAAAATTATTATATATATGCTGAAGGGCTACGTTTTTACTGTCTTACTTCGTTTCACAGAACACAATGTGATCGAGCTACCACCAATGAGATTTGTCAAAGAAACGTCTACGACCAGTAATTTGTTGATGGAAGCTGTAGTGATCGATGTATCTCCTGATTATTTTGTTAGCGCAGAAGACAATGATGATTTACGGACAGAAGCTGATTTCGAAGATGTATCCATTATAGACGATGTTACGCACGTCCTCTCGTCACCTGAACGCGATTCCCGAAGTTCTTTGAAAAGATCAGCTCGATACAGTACGGATGAGGATGACAAAATTCCTAGTAGGCCGCCTAGGAAAAAATCAATGAGTCTATCATCATCGAAAAGCGAGAAAAGCCAACGTATAGAATCTGAAAGTTTCCATAGCGCACAGAAAGATGAGCCGCCGTTATCCCCGCTTTCATCTTTGAAGCAGGATGACAGCGACACTTTTGCGGACGCTTTATCCTCTGCACATCTTTCCATCACGGAGAGTCTTGTTCAGAAACACGTGACATCATCGGAACATGAAAGAGCAGATAATAGAAAACGTAGTTTAAGCGCAGGAAGGAAGGAATCTGCGTCAACCGGTTCCAGTCTAGACGATGGAATTGGTGGTGATTCCTCTTTCGATTCAATAATTGGTGTTTCTAAACAAAAGCAACGCAAAAAGAAGCAACAAAAGGAAAAGAGTAATTCTGAAAAATATAGCGACTACGAGCGGGAGAGAAGTGAATCGGAGGATAAAGTTAATACGAAGGTAGAACATCAACTTACAGAACCAGTTGAAAAGACAGAAATGAATGACAAAAACGAAATCGAAGCAGTAAAGGAATTATTTACTGGCGAAGAATTTTTGGATAATTTAAAAAGCGTAAAGGAAATTAGCAGCTACGTCTCAGAAGAGATTCAAGAATTGACAAAAGATATTCTTTCAGAATCAAGAACAGCTCTACGCAACTCTTTGGAGCTTTTTTGTGAAAAAATACTCGATACAGAGCCACAATTTTCTAATATTCACAGGCGGATTGACGATATATATCAATTATTGGAAAATTCAAGAGGAATAGGTGTGGATATTGAATCCTTGACCAATCTGGAAATACCTTTGCATGCATTATTAAAGGAAATAAATGAAATTACATCAACGGAACACATAGATATCATTCGCAATATTCTCGAACCATCCATCATTCAATTGTCACATGTTATTGAAAATCTCGGATTATTATCTTTACAGCCGACGCTCGCAATTTTGAAAAAATTCAACGATCCCATTTATAACATTTCTAGCGAAACGAAAGAATTATCGTTGATAAAATCAATATCCAATGAGTCTCGAAATATATCTGAAGAAATTGCACAGCCATTAAGCGACATTCAATCAATGTTTAATGGGATTTTGAATTATATTGAACAATCGAAATTTACGGTAAATGGATCCACTAGTCCGCAACAAGTTTTTACAGCGCTGGGTCTTGTTACCTGTTTAACGGAATTGAGAGAGTGTGTATCTCACACAGCACAAACTGCGATGACGTTGAAAGAGAATGAGACACTAAACAGTTTAATGGAGCTCAAGGAACCCTTATTGGATCTTCAGTTAATTTTAACATCACAGAGATGTACTTTTCGCGAACTTTCGATAATAAAGGAAATAAATTTTGCCATTGTAAAGTTAAAAGGTGTCGTTATAACCATATTAAAAAATTCTGAAAATCATGAGGTAATTTCTCGGATGGAAGCAATTCTCAAAATATTGAAAGATACCGACGAACAAATATCAAAATTGATGGGACAATTATCAGAGACGGAAGCTATTCAAAAATATGTGTTAAAGAATCTAAACGTTGATCAAAGTTTAAGCAACGTTCATTTTGCTCTATCATCAGTTTTAGAAAAGCAAGAAAATTATATAACCTCATGTCATTTAATTACGAGCATTGAGGCATTACGTCAAACAATCGGATCTTCAGCTGTTACAATCGCCAATTTAAAAAATCCAATTGATGATGAGATAATTCACGAAATTGGCAAACTAAATGAATCGTTGCTAAATTTGCAGAAAGATTTATTAACGGAAAAACACGAACCACGAGAAGAACAAATTCTTAATGATTTGATAAATCCCATTAGTATATTGAAAGAGATAGTTCACAGTGTAATTGAAAGCAGTTCTTTGATCGAATCAATAATACCCATGTTGGAATTGCTGAAAGATATGGAAAAGGATACAGCTCTTATAGCGAAAGAAATATCAAAGAAAAAATCTCAGGAAGAAAGTATCACTGCACCATCTGAGACAGAAAATATAGAAGGAGAAAATAATTCAAAATCCAGTTTGGCTAGTCGAATAAGCCGTTCCTTAAATCCCATTAAAAATTGGTTATCCGCTACATCCGAAAACAGTACGACACAATATAAAGACGAAATAGAATCTGCACTTAGCTCGGCAATCGAAGAATTGAAAATAAATGTGAGTCAAATTGCTATTAAAACGTCATATTCAGAACCACCAAGTGATAAAAGTTTGATAGACGCACTGATTGATCTTCGAGAACCGCTAGTGAGGCTTAAGAATGCTATTACTACATATCACAAACCGGAAGATCTTTTAATTTTAAAAAGCTTGGATTGTCCTATGAAATATCTTCTGCAAACTATTATGGATGTTCTTTATGAACATGCGGAAGAAAAATCTTTACGACCAGTAATAGATATTATCGAACAAATTAAAAATCAAATATCGCTTTCAATCGAAGATAATCTTTATCAGCAAGAGCTTAAACAAAATGCTAAAGCATTTAATATGGAAATGGAGGAAGAAGAAGAAAAAGAAGGAGAAGCTTCCCAAGAAACAATTCCAGGTACTCTTACGGAAGTTGTTACAACACTTCCACTTGAAGCTGGCTCTATCTCGTTGCATACTGAGCAAGCTGTTACAGAAAACAATTCCAATGACGTCGTTTTACAAACTGTTAAAAATGAGAAACAGGAAAGAGAGGAGGGTGCAAACAAATTAATCATGATCTTGTCAGAAACTTTGGAGAAACTTCAATTGGAAATAACTAATATACTGGAGGATTTTGAAGAATCAACAACACAAACTACTACAATTCTCCAATCGAAATTAGCTAATTCCATTGAAGAGTTAAGAAGGACTATTTCCACAGTACGCGTAATGATTGTTTACGGTGACGATGAAACTGGATCATTCGAGGATAAACTTAATCAGACAACTTTGGTGCTGAGTAACTTAATACAGCCGCTGACAAATATACAAAATCTTCTTTCTAAATCGCATGAGCACGACGTTTCAGAACTTATGATACTGAATCGATTTACTCCGTTATTGAATATAATAGAAAACAATGTGATAAGACAGATACTCGATTTTATCAGTAAAGATGGAGATGTAGAAAAGGAATTTGAATTTCTTCTATGCATACTAGAAGAAATCAAAAAGAAAATTCCAATTGTAATTCAAGATATATCATTGAGACGAAAAATTTTGGAACATCTCAGGGACATTTCAAAACCTCTGGAAAGTATTTTAGAACGTATGAGCGATCTAGAAAAAGCTGCGGAAGAAACTCTTGAAACTGATGTCGCGAATATTTTAGGAAAGCCGATAGCTGCTTTATTAGAAGATGTTAAAATTACTATACAAGAAGTAGATATGTTAGATAGTCGAGAATCATTGATTCTCGAATTACGAAACCTTCTTGAACCCCTGTTAGAATTTCATAGTTGTCTTTCAATGGTACAGAGTAGTCGAAGAAGTTTAGTTCCTGAAGCCTCTTTATTAGATGAGAGGAGAAGCGTTATTCTACGAGCGGTCGACGGTTTGCGCAAACAAGTTTGTCACTCTGCTGAAATAACCGCGAATATGGGAGAAACTTTCTTATTTAATGAATCTTTATCCTTGCTCAATTCTGCGATTTTACAAGTACAAAAACAAATTGGAAAGACCGATTATTCACGCCGATCTAGTAGCAGCAACATTCCTCTGCAGGATCGACTTATCGGCGCATTGAATCGCTTAGACAACGCTATAATAGAATTAGAAAAACACGCTGACAAAGATACATATAAAATAGTGTCCAAATGTTTGGAAGCATTACAAAAACAAATCTCTCTCGCGCAAGCACAATTTAATCAAATTGGTAGTGAGGTAATTGACGAAGAGGCAATCGTAGAAGGTTTTCTTTATCCGACTAATCAACTTCTGTCGGCGTTAAACATTCTAAAAGAGAATACGCAGAAGATGCCTTGGACAGCGTCGCATAACTTAATAATTCAACTTGAAGACCTAGCCGACTCTATCTCAGAATTAAGCTGTTCCTTATCGGCTCACAAGACAGGACTTGTCGAAGAAGGCGCTTCTGAAGGAGCACCAATCGTCGAGACTTTTTCTGCTGTTATAGATGTTTTAGATCATGTAAAAGACGCTATAAATGTCATAGAGCAAGCTGTCGGTGTTGAACAAAAAGCGAGCATGATTATCACGAAAGTAGAAAGTGTCATTGATGAGATTATAGAAGTATCGCAAGAAGAAATTGAGAGCGTAATGATGATCACAGAAATACCGTCTAAAACAATAGTCCAGAAGGTTGTTCAATCTGAAATTGAAAATACACCTATTACGACACAAATATCAGTTTTAGAAGATCTAGAAGCAGCTGTAATCCCTATTGAACAAACAAAGGATGATCTAACGGATATGAGAGAATGTGAAGAAAATCAGAAAGAAAACGAGAAACAAGCACATTTGTCAATTGAAATATCAAAGTTTAATTCTGCAATAAGTAATTTGACGCAGCCGTTAAAAGAATTGATTAATTTTGTGGAATTTGCTAAGCAAAAATCTCTAATTTCAAAATCAGAGGAAGACAAGCGGAAAATACAAGAATTAACAGCATTAGTACAAATTCTTAATGATTTACAAGCTACAAATATTTCTATTAAGACGGTAATATCAGCTTCCTCGTCCATTATACTATTAGACAGCCAATTTTCTCGTATGAAAGATATTCTTGCTAATTTCGAACAAGCTGTCGATACGGTTATTTCCTTGATGACTCGTGAAGGAGTGAAACCAGAATTAAAGGAGACCGTTATGGCATCTTTACCATTAATCTCCAAGCCTTTAGATGCTCTTGAAAATGTATTGGCATCTATATGTCATATAATCGATGAAAACAAATATATTGACAAAGACGGAGAGTCATCGTCTGCAATCGCAAAAACCTTAATATCATGTATTAAGAATATTATTAAATCTCTAAATGAAATGCAAATATCGAAATGTGTTAATATTGTTAACGAAACGGAAATATTGAAATTAAAAGAAGAAACAAAAGATATTGAAAAAACAACTGCGCGACCCCTCGAGGAGCTTATAGAAGCCATTATGGAGTCTCAAGAACAGATAAAATGTGACAAGACCTCGTTATTAGAATCTAGTTCACTTTCCACAGATATGATCGCGTCGAAAAGCGTCGATAATTTAAAAACCGTAGAAGTAGAGTTAAATAAAACACTTGTTAAAGAAATAGATGATTCAATCAAACAAGATGCAGTAGAAACACCACAACAAGCATTTTTATTAGAAACTGGTCAAATCGAGGAATTACTTCTTGAAAATGTAGGAATGATAAAATCGATAGTAGAACCTGTAGAAGAAATCGAGAAACACAGCTTAGCAACGATTGGTCAACAAAAGATAGAATCAACTCGGAAAACAGTGTCTGAAAACAGTATGATTCAGGAGAAACAAATAAAAGTTGAAACTTTGCAAGAGCTTATCTCTTCTCTTCAAGCACTGTGTAAATCATTCAATGAAATTGGAGAAATGGCAATTTTAGAATCTTTTGATAAGAAAACGATCGCATTTCCAGATTTAGTAAAACCGTTATTAAATTTACAACTTGCACTACCGTCCAACGTTACCGAAGATATTGAACAAAATACAATGATATTACTAAAATCATCTATTGTAAACATTTTGGAAGAATTGCAAAAGTCAATTGCTACAGTTCAAGAAAAAGTGCAGCTTAACGCTGTAGCTGAAAGCAATTCGTGTGAAACATCTAAGATATGTTTAGTACAAGCCGTCGTGAAACCATTAGAAGACTTGAAGATGTCAATTGTTTGTATCCAATCTGACCCAACAATTAATCAATTTATCCAGCAAGAAGCAAAATTATCGAATGTTGAACAGATCACAATTTTGCAAAATCTTGTTAAATCAGTGGAGCAATTTGGAAAAAGATTTATGTCTATTATTAGTCAAGTAAAAGTGGAAGATGTGCCACCATTAAAAATTATTAAACAAAAAAATCAAGAAGTGGATCCAAAAATGTTACATAAAATTGTTGATGCCATTCATATTTTACGAGATACATTTATTCAAATTGAAAACCTTAACATTTCTAAAGCCGATCTATTAGAAACGCCGGAACAGAAAAAAAAGACTACTCTTGAGTTGAGTATTGTGATAGACTCTTTGGAAAAATTAGAACAATCTTTAATTATAGGTACGCAGCAAGTTATAACCGTGCAAGAGGAAGGTATAAAAGAAATTTGCGAAAATCAAAGTTTGTTAGCAAGTGCGAATCTAAAATCTGTGCTACACGAACTCAGAAACTCGATTATTGTAGTTCAGGAGCAAACAATCTTTAATGATATTCCTGTGTTAAAAACGTTGAATGAAGCTCTAGAAAACCTGAAACTATCATTAACAACAGTTGTCGATCATGTTGATAAAGTTACTGAAACTGAAAAAGTATTAACTTTACTATCATTTGCAAACTCGGTAGAAGAAATAGCGAATCAACTGATACCTGTAACTAAACAAGATATAGAAAAGCAAACAATTAGTGAAACTTCTCTGTTAAAAACAATGACTATTCCAATTGAAGAATTGCAAAGTGCAATACTAAAACTCGAAGACCGAGTGTCTCAAACATTGGAAAAAAAGGAATCAATAAAAGCTGTTGCTTTAGAATGTATGATACAACCATTGCAAGAATTACAACAATCATTCTTAACTGCATCTTATCAAGAAACGGTCTTAGCCTTGCAACGATTGCCAATCAAGCCGATATTGGATAACTTAAATAGATCCATGGCCATAATTCAAGATCAAATTATGATCATTCAGGATAATTTACTTGTGGACGTGAATACAGATGATTCGATAATATTGAAAGATTTTGCGAGATCACTCGGTAATTTAAGAACGTCGATGGTAGTTCTGCAACAATTAAATGCAATAGAAAACGCTAGCCAACAGATTGTAGAAATCGAGAATGCGTCCGCGCTGCAAACATTCGCGAAATCTATTGAGGAGTTCAAAAAATGTTGTTGCGTTATTGTTGAACGACCGAGAATTATCGATGCTTTCACGACAAATATAGAATTAAAACATGAATCAAATAAAATAGATACGCATCTTATTGAAAATATTATTGCACCTTTGCGAATATTACGGGAGCAGATTTTAACTATTGAAGAAACTAAAATGCAAGAATCCGAGATTTTAGATGTTACGGAAGTAAGAAAACCAGTTACTGTGCAGTTAAGCAATCTTGTTAATCCCTTGCAACAACTTGAAAAATCTTTTGTCGCAACGGTACAAACGGAACATGTTATCGAACACGATGGGCACAATCTAATAACCAAAGCATCTTTTGTAAGCCTAGAAAAACTTGCTCTACAACCTATTCTCGAAGAAGTACAAAAGTCTATTGCTACTGTACAAGAACAAGTGATATTAGAGGCAGGAAGTGAAATTTCGGAAGTAGAAACTGACGTTTTACTGAAATCGATCGCGCAACCCTTAGTAGATTTAAAAACTTCTATTGCATCTATTCAGCAAGTAACCGCAATTGCACCTGACTTTTTAAATAAACTCGCACAACAACAAAATATTTCGGCATTGGAAACTTTTGCCGAAACTCTTCATAATCTGTCGGAACGTATAGCAATGTGTAATCATCAGCAGGTAGTCATAGAACCTGCGGCGGACACTATTTCGGCGGAAGATGCTGCCTCTTTGAATGATACGTGGGCAGACGTAATAGATGAATCTTGTTCAAAAATTCCCCGTCCAATAGTAATCGATCAAGGAACAATCGAATCTCCAGCCGAAATCGCAGTGTCAATGTCGGAAGATGAAACCTCTACATTGAAAACATTAGCAAAGCCACTAACTGAATTACGAGAATGTCTAGCCTTGATTGTCGAAGAGCAGAAAACAGTCCCGCCATATGATACGATGTGTTCTTTGTCGGAAAAAGAAAATATTTCTTTGATAAAGACAATGATACAGCCTTTATCAGAGTTAAAACAAGCAGCTGCAATAATTATTCAAGAACAAATGGCTATTGAATGTGCTAATGAGCATTCATTTGCAATTGATAGTAAAAATGAATTTATTCTTCGTCCTTTGATGGAACCACTTGAAGAATTACGTCACTCTATCGCGGTAATACAGGAGCATATGTTGGTTGAAACATCAACAGATCATCGATCGAAGAACGACGTCATATTGGATGCATTGGCTGAACCTCTGTTCGATCTTCAACGTGCAATTTCTGTTTTAGAAACACGAGTGATGTCTCCGGATGTTGAATCAATGCCCGAAGACGTAGACAACAACTGGATTACAAAATGTTTAGCGACGCCTCTACACGAAATAGAAAGATCGATTGCTGATATTCGTCAATGCAATATAATGAAACCGAAAACTATAATTGTGGAAGAGCAAATGAGAGCTTCAATGCAGACTGCAGACTGGTCAATTATCGAAAAATTATTAAAACCAACGAATAGTATTAAATCAGCGATATTACGTATCGAAGATGATTCTATCGAAACTGAAATTCTCAAAACAATGGTAGATCCATTTACTAATGTACAAGAGAATTTAATGTTACTGAGAAACAAATTTAATTTAGCTTCTGCTGATGAGATAGCTGATGGTAATATCGATGCTTTTATCGAATCTCTTTCTAATTTTGAAGAATGCATTTCATTTATCAAGAAAGAAATTGTTGATAAAGCAGTGTCTAAACAATCAGATGTAAAGAAAATTGATCCTACAATATCCGCCACTCTCAATATACCATTAACCGAATTAAAATGCTGTATTGAGACTATAAAGACATCACCAAACAACGTACATCTAAATAATTTGGAAAGACCGTTGGAGCTTATGCAAAATGCGCTCGAAACAATTGTATCTACACAACGAAATAAAAAGCTTTCAGAATTATCGATAAAAATAATAAATAATATTTCAGATATTAACAAGTCAATCGAATCTATCGAAAATAAATTAAAGCAACAACAGATGTCGGTTGTTGAAATTTATATCGAATACGAAGCACTAGGAATATTGACAAAATCTTTACAGAATGTTAAACAATGTATTATACAGATACAAGAAGAACCAAATACTGCCAATTTAATGATTAGTGCTCTTCAGAAATTAGAGAAATCTATAGCTATAATGCGAGAGCAATCAGCTGATAAACCATTGGCGGAACCGCCACATACGAATTTCGGCGTTTTTTCAAAAAGTTTAATACCGTGTTTACACGAGTTACAAGAATCAATAGAAGCAACAAAAACATTATGGTGTGAAAAAACAATATTAGATGGATTAATGATTCTTGAGAAACCAATTTATAAATTGTTAGCTGCGATGAACATTATGCATGATCAGTCTTTGAAAGAAACGATTTTAATATTAGATCAAACCGCTCTTCAAAAGAAAGGTAGAGAGAAAGAAATTAAAGCATCATCTAAAATTAAAACAGCTATCGAAAAAGAAACTAATGAAACAATTAAAGAAGAAATCAAAGAAACTAAGTTGGTAAAAAGTGTAGATTCTACAATAACCAATGATACGAAAGACAAAAAAGATGAGAAAAAACCAGAAAAAATAGAACAAAAAAAGGAAAAAGATGATGAAAAATTAACACATAAAGAAAAAGCTAATGAAATAGAAAATAAAGATGAGAAACAAACGAAAGAAAACGTAATTCAAGAAATACAAAAAATAAATGAAAAACAGGAGAGCAAAGAAATTGAACGATTAAAAGAGAAAGCGGAGCAAAATGAAAAAAGCATAAAGGATAAAAATTTAAAGCAAGACGATAAAGAATATAAAAAAATAAAACAAACTGACAGTTTTGAAAAGCATAAAGAAGCTGGAAAAACAGAAGGAATAGAAAATCAGCATGAAAAAATTAATACAGTTGAAAGTGTAAAAAACAAAATAGAGGAAAGTGAAAAACTTATCGGCGTAGAACATATGAGAAAGGAAAAAAGTGAACAAAGTGAACAAAAAAACAAAGATATAGAAATTAAGGAAGCAGAAAACGAACAAAAGAAAGAGCAAGAAATCGTACAAGAAAAGAAAAAAGTAGATAAATGTAAGAGAACTGAAATGGATCAAGGCATTAAAGAAAGAACAGAAAATAATAAAGTAAAAGAACTTAAAGATATAGGCAAAAAAGAAGAACACTTGAAAGAAGAAAAAGAAAATGTCGACAAAATTGAAAAAGGAGAAGAACAAAAAAATATAAAAAATATTGACAGATTAAAACCGATGAGACAATATGAGAGGAAAGATAAAACTGAAGAGACCGAAAAAGAAATTGACGAAGAAAATGAGGATTCTCGTAAAAAGGAAGAGATAATAAAACCAGAAGAACAAAAAAAGAAGAATGAAATGCATCAAATATCGAGGGGAAAAGAAGAAGAACGAAAAGAGACAGCCAATCTGGAAGAAATAAAAATAGCAGAAAATAAACAAGCAAAGACAAAGAAAAATGTACAAGAGGATAACAAAACAGCCGTACATCAAGAAAGAGATAAAATTGAAAATAATAAAGCAAAAAGAATAAAAGAGGAACTAATTGAAAGAAAGAAAGATGAACTTATTAAAGCAGAAGAAATAATACAGCAACCACAATATGAATATACAAATAATATAATGGAAGAGGATGGTACGATGAGTGAGAGCAGGAGAGAAATAAATGGAGATGAAGAACAGAAATTAATAACATGCATAAAACAAAAGCGGAAAGAAAAAGTAAGTGAAGAAATCCAGGAATTAAGAAAAGATGAAAATTTATGTTTGGAGAAATGGAAACAACAAAAGCCGCAAAGTGATGAAAATTGGTTATATACAAGAGAAGAACGCGTTAATAGAAGTGATAAACGCAGATCAAAACAAAAGGAGGAAAATGATTATCAGAAGAGAGATAATGACAAAAGGCTGCAACGAATGGAAAAGAGAATTAGGAGAGACGAATCTGCTAGATTATTATGGGAAGAAGAACAAAGAATACGGAAAAGACAAGAAGAGGAAAGATTCAGAAATAGACAGAGAAGAAAAGAACAAATAAGAGAAAATGAATGGTCCAGAAAACGTGAAAATGAATCCGACCGTTTTCTTAGAAATATGCTAGAAACCACACACAAGCCTACAGACAAATTGACTTCAATGCAGTTTTTTGATGTCGGTTATTCTCGAGAACATACTTTTCGATTTGATTCTGGCATCCCAATGCTTTCTAGCACCTCCAGATCATACAGTTTGAGAGATTCTTTAACATCACTAAGCAGGAAAAGATTCGACAATTATTGGGATTATAAATTACATAGTCCTTCTATGGATAAATATTATTTCGATGCAGGATCGTCGTACAGAAAGCGCAGAAAAAGAGAAAATCGTATGATTCGTGCGAGATCGATCGGTTTGCTGAAATATGAAGACTATTCGACTGGAGATAGCGATGCCACTATTGTATCTAATATGCGCGTTCGATCTCTCCGGCGCACAAAGACGGACGCTATCTCACGTATCAATTTCGATACACATGAGTCTAATCTGTCTAGTTACATTGACTTCCGTCAAAATGAGGTAGTTATTCAATGTTGAACTACTGCTTAACGCTTTATAATTTATAAATAAAGAAAAGAAAATCTCTTAAAATTTAAAAAATGTTATAACTATTACAGAATCTTCCATGGGACAAGCCAAAGAAACCATCGTTTTGCACAAGATTAACAAACAGAGTCGTGGGAGTTGGTATGAGGACAAAACTGGCCTGCACCGTTCTCGGTAATCCAGAACCACGCATCCATTGGATGAAAGACGAACAAAAGCTGGATGTATCAGACAATCATTATAGAATGCGATATGAAAACGGTATGGCTTATTTGGAATTACCCGATGCGTCCCCCGAAGACGCTGGAATATACACATGTGTAGCTGAGAATGCACATGGCACTTCGACCACCGAATCTATCTTGAGAGTTTATTCCGATTATAAACCTACGCATTCACCTCCAATTTTTATAAAATCAATTAAAGGTATACACATGCACACGTGCGTGATGCGATATGCGTACGATATGCTTTATTAAATTTGCTCTATTAATTTGTGTGTGAGTCATTTCAGTGACAAACCACTTTTTTTCGTAGATACTTATCGATATTCCGATCGTAAGTTAATCCTGGAATGCCGTGTACAAGCACATCCGATTCCTAAGATTTCCTGGCTAAAAGACGGAATGATTCTTCAAGGCGAACGTTACAAGCAGAGCTATCTCGACGATGATGTCTACCGATTAGAAATAGCAGATCCTGATATCACAGATAACGGACAATATACATGTCGCGCGGTAAATGAGCTACGTACTGAGGAAATATCACATACTGTTCATGTCGAAGGTGATAAAAATATTATATGCTATATATTAATATGAATATTATATTAATAATATAAATAATAATATAAATTTTAGATTGGCAATTCATAAATCGAAGCGATCCATGTTTAAGCGACAAAGTTAGCTCGGAATTCGCAGAAAGACCACAGTTCTCCAATTTGCTAAAGGATTATAGCGTGCCCATTGGCGGAACTATCGCTCTTCAAGTAGAAGTTAAGGGTAAATATAAAGACGCTTGTCTCAAAGGAATAAATTACATTAACTAATTATCAAGTCCTTCTTAATCTATGGCATATATTGTAGGTACACCATTTCCGGAAGTGAAATGGCTACGTGGCGTTCGAAAGGAGCCAATTACGATACCAAAAGCGAGAACCTTTGTAGAACGTGGACTTTACACGTTAATTGTGCCTGAAGCGACAGAGTCAGAAAAGGGTACATACGTTTGTAGAGCGATCAATGCTTATGGACAAGCGGATACAAGCGCGACGGTGGATGTAATATCATCGAGCGCTATCGATGCAGGGGGGAAACCGGCGATGTTTGTCTCGAGACCTTCCAAGAAATCGATCGATGTGATCGTTGGCGAAGACATTAGCATATCCTTCCGAGTCAGCGGTATTCCTAAGCCTCGAAGTAAGACTCGATAAATCAAATTATCTTAATTTTTCTTATATTTTCAAATTAACATTAGAACATTTTTATTTTTTTTTTTTTCTTTTGTCCTCTTCTTTTCTACTCCTCGCTTACCTTTTCTTTTACTATTTTAGTAATATGGATGAAGGGATTAACAGATATCACGGATGGACCTAGATCTTACAAGGAAAGTATTGATGATTACGTCAGATTAACATTAAAAAGAGTTACACCTTCTGATGAAGGTACCTATTGTATTTTGGTTAAAAACAGATATGGCTGTGACAGAAGCTTTTTTTCGATCAGGGTGAGAATCTTTGTAAATTAAAATATTTTACATAATTTATATGATTGAATTAAAAGGGAACGTAAAATCAGTAACGTAAATTCAAAATCATAGGTAAAACAACGTGCTAGATCATTGACTCCATTATCAGATTGGAATTCTCTTACTGAGCGTGAAGCAGAAGAATACAACAATGACATGTCTTACGTGAGAAGTAAGTGATTTTGCGATTATTTATTTGTAATATTTGCTAAGGGAGAATGCTCGAGAAAGATTGAAAGATTTTTTTTTTAGTATTATACTTGCCTGAATAAAATAAAGATACTAGTGGAACATAGTAATAAATTCCAACTAACATAAAAGAGATATCACGATATTATTGTATAACATATTAAAATTAGAATGACAAACAAACTACACCAACTGCAACATCGCGTATACTTGGCTTAAATTTTAATGGCTAAACGCCAGTTGACGCCTGGACTAAGTAACCGCACAAATTACTGATATCAATATTTAGTTCGATTATTCATCGAATTAAATATACTGATCAAAAATATCCTCAGATATACGTAAATGTATAATCTTTGTAATAAGCCAATATCCTGAGATGTAAACCCCTCTCAATTAAATTCAGAATTGGCACAGAATGCGCGATTAAAGTCTTGTACTTGTAACGTAAAATAAACGCGACAGGAGAATATTTAAGTTTCCTTCATTCGAGGAACATTTTGAGGCGGGTTATTTTAGTTTACCTCCTTTACTCATCTCCCACCAACATCTCACCAACTCCGCAAATTCAAAATTCAGTCGTCGTCTAAACGCGAATCACTTCATATACTTATTACTTTATAAAACCTTTAGTTTTGTCACGATATATTGTGCTAAAACGAAATATCTCGTGTAAAGTGAAGAATTATTTACTCGTTATTATCAATTTATCATTTTCTGACGAATGTTAAATCGTCGCAAATTATTTTTATAATATTCTTATTGCATAATATTTTAAATGTACAAGTATTTCCTTTTATCGCGTTCTTTGTAATATCAAAACGCGTTTGATTTGTGAGCGTTATTAAAAATACATCGCCATAATAAATAAAATTAAATTAATAAAATAAAAATAATGGCACATGGTCATGGAATTATTACCAATGTTAAAAATGAAGATATCACTATTTCATGTTTGAGACGTTCTTGGACCAAGAATTGTTTAATCACAGACTTTTTGGAATATTTGTATGGGCATCGAGGTTAGTCTCGATAGAGGAGAGAATTTTTTTTTTTATATAATATATAACTTTTCTTAAAAAAGAGTCTTTGATGTATTTGTAACAGAGACGCGCAATTAAATTTTTATAATTCTACATTTGTATTTATATCTAATAATCTTTATATCATCAGACGTGCCCGGTCCAATCAGTAGCGAACCCGTTGTTATTGATGGTGGAAAAAGTTGGCTGTCGTTGAGTTGGGGTAAAGCAGAAAAAAGAGGACCTGCACCGGTGGTCGCTTATAAAGTCGAAGCGTGGCTATTAGGCAGTGACGGGGGTGCACGATGGATAGAGGTAAAACAAAAGAATATACTATATTTTTAGCTCGATATATTACAAATTTTAATTTTTCTTTCCATAAATATGTCAAAATGTAATTTAATCTTGCCAGTTGGGAATTACGCCGATCAACGCATTCGACGCATTCAATTTACGACCAGGTGGAGAATACAAATTTCGCGTAACGCCGCGAAATCGTTACGGATGGGGTGAACCAGTTACAATGACAAATTCAGTGTTGGTGCTCGAAAGTACCGATCTTCCAGAATTCACAAAAATTCTACCGGGTCAATTAAAGGCTCTCGAAGGGACGCCGGTAAAATTGGAATGTGAGGCAAGTTTACAAATAAAGGCATAATATTATACTGCAGCTTTAATTAATACTCCCCATTTTATATACATATTTTAACGATTTCTTTCAGATTCGCAGCGATTCCAAAATAGAAATACGATGGTATCGCGAAACAACGGAAATTAATTCGTACAATGATACAAGATTCGCGATATGTTACGATGGCTCTAAATGTTCTTTGACAATTGCAAATATTAAAGGGGATGATTCCGGAAGATATGTTTGCGAAGCAAACAATAAAGTCGGTAAAGTGTCATCGTTCGCCAGAATTCTCGTTGTTAGCGATCCAAGAATTATCGAGGCCGATGCCAAACTTAAAACAAAGTAAATAAATGTCTTGATAATTACTCTTTCATTAATGCAACAAAGCTGATAATAACGTATAATTCTATTAAAAGTTTGAGCTCGGAACCGGAAGATAGACCGCCTCAATTCACCATGAGAATACGAGACAGGCGAGTGCAAACAACTTATCCAGTAAGGCTTACTTGTCAAGTAATCGGACATCCTGTTCCAGAAATCACTTGGTATAAGAACGGAACGGAAGTCTTTCAAGATGGTAATTAATTCATTATTCAAAAATTCCAATAATATTAATAACTATCCGCTGAATGTTTTTTTTTCTCCCCCTTTAGATCGCCATATTTTTTGGGATGACAACTCAAACTTCCATACTTTAGAAATAATTCATTCTACTCTTGAGGATTCTGGGTGTTACATGGTGACAGCGAGGAATATAAACGGCTCGGTATCTTGTCGATGTACCCTCGTGGTAGACAAAGGAATTCGAGCCTATATTGCACCGGAATTTCTTCGTGGTCTCAATGTGGCTTACACGATTCATTCAGGCGGAGAACTACGAATGTCGGCACAACTTGAAGCTTATCCGAGTGTTGGTGTTGTTTGGTGAGCAGTGATTATGTGATCAACGATACTCACATTTATGACCAGATGCTCCAGAAATGTATTTTCCTTCTTTTTATGATTACATTTTTCACGTAGGCATCGCGATGGTATTCGCCTGCGACCCAGTAGAAGAGCGGTAATGACATTGAGCCACGATGGCACCGTCCAATTCTCTCTGGCGAACGTTACTACGCGAGACGCAGGAGTTTACAATTGTACCGCAACGAATGCAGTCGGTCAAACCGAGACAGCCACAAGGGTAGCTGTTACAGTTGCAATCCAGGACGAGTTGTCCATCAATGAATCATTCAATATCACAAGCACATGTCCAGAAATACCGTGAGTAATCATTCGTTACAATTATCTTGTAATTTGTTTCAGCGAACAAAATAAGTAAAATTGTTGTAGATATTCGAAGGAACCTCTTTTTGTAACAAAACCATTATCAACTGAAGCGATCGAGGGAGATACGGTTATCATTCTTTGTGAAGTGGTCGGAGATCCTAAGCCGGAAGTAATATGGTTGCGCGATTTTCTCAAGGTAAACTCTATAAATATTTTCTTAGTTTTTTAACTTATTTCATTCACTCTTTGCTACTTTTGAATAGAAATTTGATGTGATATAATTAGACGGTGCATTTCATGCAAATGAAAAAATGAAGAAAATTTACAAGAAATTTATTAAATTTTGGGGTTAATTAGTCTTAATTAAAAATTATACAAAATAAAAAAACAAACATTGCAAATAGTGAAATGATGTGTACCTAATGCTAATTCTTGATCTGTGTTATGTGGGTCGAGGTAGCTGCGAAAAAATAATTACATTGCAGAGCGTAACAGAGAACGTATTGTAACCATAAGCGGATAAGACATTACATACGCCAAAGGAAATGGCATTGACATTGGATAGTTTCTTATATGGTAACAGTATGTTACGTTATATTACATTTTTAATATATGGACGAAGGAATGAGATTTAATTACATCGCATTCAGAGAGGAATTCATACTGTCAATTAATGATATATACAAATCCAAGATAGGAAACGTGCATTGACCGAAAAAATATGCGCATCCACGTCACTTCAGAATATCTGCATAATCATAAAATATATCACAGAACAGTATCCCCACTTGTCGACAAGACCAACACTCGGCTTTCTTCGTCGATGAATCGGTACTGTAACATACGAGCAGCAAAACAGTCGTCGTGTAACTTTAGCGAACGAATAGCCACTTCAACTTTTGATCGCCTATATGACGTGAAACCATCGTTCTGTGTCTTATTATGTGAAATGTGAAATACAATTTCGATTCAATTTACGAAACACATATTTAGTCTGTTTCGATTAAATTCACAATTTTTAACAAATAGCCAGTTTTATTTCATAATTATTTTATGTATTATTTTATTAAGAAAATTAGGTTTAATTCAATGTGGAATACGATAGTGTAAGTATATGGCATCAGATTGTTAATTTAAATAATTATTTATCCGAAACTACATGAGAGAAAAAAATTGAAACCAAAATTCTAAATCAAGCTAAATATATCTGACAATGAATTGTGCATAAAATTATATTCATATCCACATATATATATTTTTTTTTTTATAATTATATATATGTATAATTATCAATATATGTTATAAAACATGTTTTAAAATTTTATTTAAAAATTAACATGAATTCTTTTTTCTCTCATTTACACGAGTATGCGATATTATATAGGGGATATGATTGCAAATACAGTATACATTCAATTAAGTAATGTATATGATTTTAAACATATTGTAAAATTTAAATCACAAAATTATAAGAATATAATTTAATTCAGAATTGGATTAATTGTATTCTATATTACGTCTTGTTGTGTACGATTATACGTAAATGTGGTTCCTATGTGAATAATTACCTACTGTACGATAAATCCAAAGCATTCTTGCAAACTGTCTCTAGACTAAGAATTTATAGCGTCTATCTTTGTAATGGGGAAGTATCCTCCGCATAAATTTTAGCGTAAGCAAACTGTAATGTGACAGATGCAAGACAGATACATTTCAGGGAATGTATTATGTTACGATTCAAATTCGCGAGAATTAAAGATTATAATCAATGTCTTTCAATATCCGAGCGCTATTAAAGTATATTAAATCATTAAATTCATAAAAATATATAACAAAACACAGTAATATACGTTAGTACTCATGTAATGTGTTCAACCAGATCAGTCTGCAGCGATCTGTTCAACTTTCGCTCCCTATATGGACTAGAACCGTGACGAAGACATCTCTCTCTCTCTCTCTCTCTCTCTCTCTCTTTCTCTCTCACCTCTTTTTTTCTCACTGTCCTTTTCGTTCCCAACATCACATGCTGAGTTTTAACTCCGCCTCATAATCTTACGTAAGAACTAACATCCGTAATCTGTCAATACAGCAGACGCGATTTAAATACATTCGGTAGAAGATATATATCCAAATCTAATGCAATCCCGCATTAGTGGTCACAATCGAGAACATGCTTAATCAAATTATCAATTCAAATTGATGATTCTCACTATTTATTATGATTTTATAGATTAAATGCTGCAATTAAATGATACTAATTATCATTGCGGAAATATCAATATTCAAATTGTTTTTCTACTTTATTTAAAATTACTTTGAATCATTTCTTTATGCTTTAACAATTTAACATCGCATTTACGGCCAAGTATGCTATTCCGGTTAACAATGCAATTCACGTGAAGTAAACGAGAACAAACGTTGATAAGAAACAATAAACATTCGGTTCAGTTGAATACTGTTTGCCTTGCAATACTTGTAATTTTAAGTTCTTACATTTTGATTTCTGTTCTGATATTTTATACGAATTCTTCGGGTTTTCCAGCCCGACTATTATAGGGACGCACCTCATTTTCGGCTGGTGGGTGCAGGGCCACAATATCAGTTGGAAATACCTTACGCTAAACTCGATTTTACTGGAACATATTCCGTGATAGCTCGCAATTGTCATGGAGAAGCTAAAGCTGTAATTTCTTTGCAAATCTATGCCAAAGGTAAATTTTGAGACCCGCGAACAGAATTTTACATTATATAAATTTATTTCAACGATTTTTTTTTCCAGGACAAGGTAAAGAGGAACAAACGCAGAAATCTCATGGGTAAGCTATCACGAAAGCTTAATGACGCATGTACGTTTCTATTTACCCTGTTCCATTAATAAAACATTAAACTCTACAGAAAGGTATTGACCCTGCCGATTATAAAGAGAGAATTGCGAGATCTTCGGTGTTGCGACGGCGACGCTGTCTCCTTGGAGTGTAAAGTTTATGCGACACCAGAACCACCTTTGGTTCGTTGGGAACGTGGAGGCAAAGTAATAACAGATTTAAATGCTTAAGCTGTTGCACATATAGCTGCTAAACTATGACATTAAAAAAAAGTGTTTATTAGATTATAACTATGGTGGGTGATTTTACTGCCGAATTCGATGGTGAAACGGCGCGCTTAAATATCCAACATGTCTATCCTGAAGATGAAGGAGAATACACGTGTGTGGCTTACAACGATCTTGGAAAAGCATATACATCTGCCTGTTTAGTCGTAGATGGTAATTTTATATAAAATTTCAAAAGAGATTTGCATAAAGGATTTATACAAATAAAGATACGGTGCGCAAATTGTGAAAACATCTCTTTGATCTATTTATAAACTGTAATTTCTTTGTGAATATTTATTATGCTACTTAATTGTCGGTCACTTTCAAAAATTGCGTGATAACACGACTGATCGCGAACAGGAATTTATCGCAATTGTGAACGCAATTGGAACATATACACGTATACTTATTGTTAATAACATATGCACCAATAGAAAATGTGAAAATTTTCTAAATTTGCAAGGATTTAAATTATTTATATGTGTCATAGTCCCTGAGGGAAAAGAAAATATACTGAGTCAAAGGTTGACGAGGCCAATGGGTCTGCTGTCAGCAGGATCGACTCCAAGATCGACTCCGCGATCGACACCAATTAGAAGTTTGTCACCAGCGGTTTCACGTAAGCCTAAGATAAAATAAAAAACTCAATATGGTAAAAGAAAGTAGATAAAGTTTAAGGAAAGAAGTAAAACGAACGAAAGAAGTAAGCGACGCGGTGACGCGGTTGAAGATTATCAAATGACAATTATTTTCAGACGGACGTGAACTGAGATCACCGCAAGTACTACCGCGAAGCGATATATCAAAGAAGCCGAAGGTTTGCCCGCCGAAATTTTATGCAGTGCCGCATAATCGTTTGGTTCAGGAAGGCGAAACTGTGCGTTTCCAGTGTGCCGTAGTCGGTCATCCCACACCCTGGATAAGATGGGACAAGAATGGTACCATTGTAACACCAAGCGCGAGGATCTCCATTAAAGAACGAGATGACATTAAGATACTTGAAATCATCGACGTAATGCGAGAAGATGCAGCTCTTTACAGAATGACAGCAGAAAACGACTTTGGTCGAATTGAGGCTAGTGCTCGTCTTGAAGTAATAAGTACGTATATACAAAATGTTTACAAAAAGCTGTTCTCTCTCTATCTTGGAAATAATCTTATTTTATAAAATTAATTGTAAAAAGATCGATACGAATCGACGAGTCGAACTATCAGAACTAGAAGTGCCTCACCTAGAACATATCCTTCGTTTGACCGAAGTCTTCTTCCGACTACCAGTAGAATAAACAGCCGTTTGCAATTGGAATGCCGCGTAAAAGGAACGCCGAGCGTAACACCAACGTGGTATAGGTATAAAAATTGCCAAAATTTTATTGCGTGATAAGGCGTAAAAAACAAAGCATTATTAAGATAGAAATTTTGTTTAGAAATGGACGAGCGTTAGAACGATCATCTAGAATAAAGAGACATTTCAATGGCATAACTGCCAAAATCGAAATATCAAAAGTAAAAGCTAGTGATGCGGGTGAATATTCCTGCGTAGCGACTAATATTCTTGGATCAACGAAGAGTAGTTGTCAGGTGAATATCAAACACAAGTTGTCGTCAATTAACAATTTTTCACCATCTTTTTTTAGAGATTTTTTACGTTATTTTTTCAATTTAAAAAAGACATATTATTATTTTCAGGTAACCATATTAGATCGCCACGATATGTCTGTCGCGGACAAGAATGCACCACGATTTTTGCAATCATTGCCGAAAGAGTCAATTGTCATGGAAAACTATTGTCACGAATTTCAGGCTGGAATCACAGGTAAAACTTAACTTATTTTTTTAAACTTGTGTTAACTAATTACTAAATACATCTTTTGAATTAAAGATTTGTAAATCTTTTAAAATAAAATTTTTTTTTTTCCCCTATTGCTTCAGGTACACCACCTTTCACAATTACTTGGTACAAAGACGGTCGTGAATTATCTGATTGCGATTATTATAAATACATTATATATGAAGATGGAGGTGTTGCTCTCAGAATATGTCAAGTTCATCCACAAGATGCTGGTGAATATATTTGTACTGTACAGAACGATTTTGGTATTGCGTCCTGCAGAAGTCTTTTTGCCGTTCAAGGTCAGATTTGCTCTTAAATTATTTCAATTTTAATATTGTTATTAGACCGATTTTTTAAGCTATCGATTTACGTCTCGTATTAAAATAGATTACAAAGATGTTTTCAAGCCGGCGCTCCAATTTATAAAAACTCCGTTATCAGTTATCGCCGCAAAAGGAACTACCGCTTGTTTTTGTGCCAGAGCGCAGTGTGGGAAAGCTATAGAAATTATTTGGACAATTAATGGAAAAGATGCTCGAGAAAACGCAAAATGTAAAGTACGTAAAATGAAAGAAAAAATATATATATATATGCAGGGTACACATTTTATCATTGAATGTAAGTTTTATTCTTTTAAATACAATTACTGCTATTAACTGTAATAATTTATGTGTTTGAAGATTGAAAGAGACGGTAATATCAGCATCTTAAGAATACGTGATATATCATTACGCGATACAGGAGAGATTCGATGCGTAGCTTCTGTGAACGGAAAAGGTCCATCCATCAGTTGTATTGCCAAGCTGCAGTTACAAAATTTGTTATACGAGTTCAATGACTCCATAACGAAGCTTGAAGATGTTCAATCTGACACACAAACCAAATTATCATTAACAAACACTAGTCTTGTAAGCATGATGCCAGAAAAAATGACAAAGCTATCGTCATTAAAATGTCGGCAACGTCACGAGAAGCCGAGTCTAATGCATACCAGATCATCTTCATTTCCTCGATATACTGCTTCGTATACCAAGCACACGTTTTCTCCTTTGTCAATAAGAAAACGTATTTCTAATAATGCGTCAACTGATGCTCAAAGATCACGATTTCCGGACAATTTATCAATACAAAGAATTATAAAGAAAAATTTAGACAATAATCTGGGATTTTCAAAAGGTCAAAGATTATCATCTTTATTAGACAAAGATAATGAAATTGATACTTCCATAAAATTGTTATTGCCAAAGAAAATGGAACGACTCTGCCATCAGAATATTAATTCTATATCGAACAAAGAGCATATGGAATCGCGTCTAGAAGAGTTGATAAAAGCTACGATTATAAAAGAACCAACTGATATTATCGTATTTAGAGGAAGCAGAGCAGAACTCAAAGTAACTTATAAAGGATGTCCTGAACCGACGATCAAGTGGTTTCAAGTGGTAAGTTTATTTCTTTTGCTTCTAATATCAATTTTACTGACATGCCAAGAGAGAAATATCTGTTTCAATTTAACGAATACACATTTTACAAACAAGTTTTGCTTATAAAAGAAGCTCGCGATATATTCTTGATAGGCGATCTATGCTTTCATACTTTTAACAATTAATTAACATATACATATAAACGACATCGCTATATGCAGCACAATGGCATTTAATTTAAACATGGCACAATTTAATTTAAACAGATTTGTGTTACATCACAGCACGGATAAACGCGTTATCTTTACACAAAAATTAATCATTCAACAGTATAGTCGTTTACTTATCTTTGACCTCGGAAATTATACTGAAACAATATTTCTTACTATAAATTACACGTGTAAAAATCCCCAGAAACTGTGGCAGACGTTTAAACTTTGGGAAAGCCAATCAAAATACGTAGATCGATCACCGTGTCATTTGCTCTTCTCATCATACAGCCACGTACGCAGCTACGGCGTGTATCAACTTTATTTGCATCGCGTTATATTGATTCTTAGATATTAAGACAGTGACTCTGACATATTTTGGTGTATGACACACACGGTAAAATATATTTATTTTAATTTAAGAATCGGGAATTGCAATCGAACGAGAAAACTGAAATAGTCAGCAGAGATGGTGTATCTTACCTGAGGCTGGATGACGTGACCTACGATCACGCTGGAAAATACCAAGTCTCAGTGGAAAATCCATTAGGCAAAGATCGAAGATTCTTTAGCTTAGCTGTGGAAGGTAATTTATTTGTTTATATTGTTTACTTTCGCGAGGCTCGATCTCATATACAAAAATTAATACTGACTCAACGTTACTCAACTCGCGCGGCCTTGACTTGATTAAACTTAATTAAAAAGTATAGAGGAGATAGGAGAACAGAGAGTCGATCAACGATCGAGCAGCTCAATGGAAATTTTTGCGATTAGACTGTTCCACATGTTCACAAAACACGAAATATCATCCATTGTTCCATGTGCGTAAGTGCATGTTGCACGGTCCAGTTCCTTCAATTCTCTCACGTACAAGGCAGACGGCAGTCTCACGTGACATACGCGCAATAATTCCTCCTTTCCGCGCTTCCTCCACTGGCGTCAGTTCCACCTCTTCTTCCTCTTTCCTTGAACCGCCGCGCGCCGCCGTGTACAACTGTCTAACAATAAGTAAAGTATCAGAAGACGCACGTTCGTGAGAAGGAATATACGTACGTGCCGCGGCGCACCGCATCTTAGCGACGTAACACACGTAATGACGTGCGAATTCTTTCAAAACACGCGCGATCGCTCCGACTCTATATTTGAAAATCGGCAACATTATTACAATAAAATTTTAATTAATCGCACTAACTGCAGATAAGATAGCATTACGTGCCATAAACATTACAGTTAATTAAAAGTGACTTTCGCGGTGCATTCCGCTGCATGAATGGAAGTGTATATTATATAGTGTGTTTAAACTATAGTGTCTCGTTAATATTATTCTCGTTAAAGAGAGATTTTGATTTCTGATCTGATTCAGGTCCACCCGAACCACTCACGGATAAACCAAGTATAAACTTCAGCACTGGTCAGACCACGATCGTTTGGCGATCGCCACCTTACGATGGAGGTCGCACCGTGATCGGATATACGGTGGAAGCAAAACGTGCCGGTGAAAGCACGTGGATGGTAATCGCCGAGTCTAGTCATTCGCTGAGTCACACAGTAGCAACAACTGAAAGAAATTCCGTGATACCGGGTGAGAATTACTGCTTTCGTATCCGAGCTGAAAATATCCACGGACTTAGTGTTCCTGGTATGGAGTCTGATCTTGTTAGAATTCCAAAATCAGAAGAAATAATGCTTCAGGAGGAAGAAGGTAATAATTTACAGCTCTTAAGGACTCTTGAAACTATTTTCTTATTATAATTTTAATATCTTATTTTATATATCTCTTTAAAAAATATTTAAAACATTATACAAAGAAATGTAAATTAAAAAATTTAGTTATAATCACCGTATAAAATGTCCGTTTTATTTTTTAAGACAAATTCGAACCGAGCTTTGAAGCTCGTTTAGTAGTGCCGGAAGATGGCAAATTTTTTAGCGAAAAATACGACGTTCTCGAAGAATTAGGAAAGGGTCGATATGGTGTAGTCAAAAAAGTTATCGAACGACCAACAGGCATGAATTTTGCTGCCAAGTTTATTAAAACGATAAAAACGAAAGATCGCGAACAGGTCCGCGAAGAAATTAAAATTATGAACGTATTAAGGCATCCTAAACTTTTGCTACTGGCTGCTGCTTACGAAAGTCCTCGTGAGACAGTGCTAATCACAGAATAGTAAGTACATCTAATAACATTCTTTACATGAATTATTATATAGTATTAAATAGTATTTCAATATAATATTCAATAATTACATATAATGTTAAAATTTTTTAAATTTTTAGTATTTCAGGTGGAGAATTGTTCGAGAGAGTGGTGGCCGACGACTTTACTTTAACCGAAAGAGACAGTATTCTTTTTATGAGACAGATTTGTCAGGGAGTCGAGTATATGCACGAAAATAAAATCGTACATCTAGATTTGAAAGTAGAGTAGATTTCTCACGGATATAGTAGGTCGGATTATTAATTTAATAAGCGAACTAATAATATTTTTGTTTCATCTTACAGCCGGAAAATATTATGTGCCGTACTCGAACTTCTCATCAGATTAAACTAATTGATTTTGGATTGGCTCAGACTTTAAAGTCTGATACACCGATCAGAGTACTTTTTGGTACACCGGAATTTATTCCACCGGAAATTATAAGTTACGAACCCATCGGTACTGAGTCAGATATGTGGAGCATCGGTGTAATTTGTTATGTTTTGTAAGTAAATTGATTATTTTTTAGTAATTATTTCTAAGCAATATGTACAATTGATTATTATTAATTATGATAGATTGACCGGCTTGTCGCCTTTCATGGGAGACAATGATGCCGAGACTTTTGCCAACATTACACGAGCGGATTATGATTTAGAAGACGAAGCTTTCGATGCTATTTCAAACGACGCTAAGAACTTTATCAGCGGTTTGCTTATTAAACGGAAAGAGTAGGTGTTTATATCTTTCTTACTTTATAGTTAAGACTGTTTAGTCTAGTCATTAATAAACTTGAATTTTCTGCGTATATATTTCTTGGCACAGATTACGAATGTCGGCCACGCAATGCTTAGAACACCCATGGATGGCACAACATACTACAGCTATGAGCAGAATAGTCTTGCCGACAGAAAAACTAAAGAAATTCATCATACGAAGAAAATGGCAGGTGTGTATCAATTCAGATTTTGTTAAAAATTATGTTATCATTGTTTTGAAAATGAGAAGGAATGCGTAACAAATTTGAAGTAGAATATAACTTCTGAATAAAAAAAATATTTACTCTACTAAAATGTTTTATGCTGTTAAAAATATTAAAAATAAAAAATCAGTAAAATATTTAACTGCTATTTAATTATAATATTAATTGCCAGATTTTCTCCATTATTAATCCAATAATTTATATTATAATTTTTTGTGGTTTAGACTTTGTTTTTCGAATAATCTCTTTTAACGTTCATACATTTAAGTCTTCAGTGTGCATGCGTTGTGCTATTTATTTTAATAGAAAACAGGAAATGCCATTCGTGCATTGGGAAGAATGGCATTTCTTTCGGCGCATAGTAGACGTAGCCCCAAAACAACAGCAGAGTCATCGCCTACGCTCGAACAACGATTCAATAGCATTGAAATGCAACATTCTGATGGAATTAAATCAGTCTGTACTGCCGCTGTCGATAAAGATACGGAATACGTTGAGACAAGCGCGGAAGTAAAGTCTGCCGAGGCGGAATCGCAGACAAATTTGCATTTCACGTGTGTGACGAAAGTAGATATGACAATACAAGAAACATCGATGAAGGAAGGAAATAGCTTGAATGATCTTTCAAAGCAGATGGATACTGAAAAAAAGATGTTCAGATTAAATACTAAATTAACATCAAAAACAAAAAACGTTCCACAAAATGTCACGGAACATCTAGAGATTTTAGTATCGAAAGAAAATAAGAAAAGTGACAAAGAAATAATCGATAAATTTTCTGAGATAAAACAACACATGATTTTAAAATCGCAGACATTGCGTAGAGTGTTTCGAGGCGATTCGCGCGATTCCGGAATAGGTGATTGCAACAGTTCAAGCCTGATGACTTCTTCATTACAAGTAGATGAACTTGGAATAGCATCCACTATCGAAGAAGAATTAGATCATGAGACTCACAATCGAGAAAATAAACGAAGATTGAAAAAAGAAGAAAATCGACGAAATTCAACAGCAGGTATCTTAGCAAGTTTAGTGCAAGACAAGAAAACTCTTCCTCGCGACACGGAAATTACTACGGACGACAACAAGGTAGCTACAAAGAGTGACGTGACTAAATTAGCTTCGTGTGAAATTAATCCTGTGCGGCGGAAAGGTGTGTGTAAATGTAATTAAAAATTTGTTTATAATATAATTTACAATTATTTATCATGTACGCAAAAAATAAAATGGCATTAATATAAATCTTACAATTTCACAGTTGACAGTATTGACGAGAATACGGACACAAGGATATTAAGCAGACATAATTGTGATAAATTTCTTCCAACCGGAAATGTAAGTCGTACGGCCAAGCTATTTGAGAGGGAAAGTGAAAGATCAAATTCAGACAATTCACAAATTTCGATGGCACAGCGTGCGTATCCTGCCGCTATAATCATAGGAAAGCCGCACAACGAGAGAATACAAAAAGCTTTCGCATTCTGGAACAAATAAAGATATATGTATTTTGACATACATATTTATAATAATATATACAAATCGAAGTAGAACGTATAATATTATTTTCAAGTAAAATAGAAATGTAGAGGCCCGAGGGAGCTCGCTCTCGAACGAGATCGAAAAGGTATTGAGCCTAATGGAGGGGCATTAACTATAATACGCCACCATATATATATATATATATATATATATATATATATATATGATATTCTTTTTACGGAAGAGCGCCTAATGGTCGACTTATCGGGTCGCTACAAAAATATATTGTTTGTGAGAAGTCACGAATATGTAGAAAGATTATACTTTAAATACATATAGGGGCGTGATATATATAATCCGTTAAACACACAACTGAAATAAAGTCTTACTTCTTGTTTGTTTCTAATTAAAAAATAAATTTGAATTCTTTTATCAATTATATTATATTATATTATATTATAACATAAAATGTACTGATCTGATAATGAAGAGATATGCACTTATTGTTCGAATAAGCGATCATTTCCATGGAGAATTTATGCAAACAACAATTTATAATTTTTATCGATCGCATTTTGCAATCTACAAAAAAAATCTAATTTTCGAAATTGTCGTATTAAATATATTATCCGCTTTTTAATGTTTTCCATTTAAATGCTAATTGTAATTGCATCCACAAGTTGAAAGAAATACGAATACTTTTGCTACATTAAAATATATATTTTCTTATTTTTCAATTTTAAATATGATTTCAAAACGTACATTATTACTACAGATACATAATTGGCACTTTTGTTAGATCAGATAGTAAGAGTGTCATTTAATATATATGTACGTAACATATATGTATATGTACTAATAATTGAATAAGTGACTTCGCGAGCAATTGATGATATTATTTCTAGTATTATATTTGGCAAGATGCATAAATATACTTTGAATTTGTGATTATTGTTATTTGCAAACATATCCCTGCAGTTATGTCGTAATGATGAGACAAACATTTGTATTATTATTATAAGCTATTTGCATAGAAAAATAAAGGATACATATCTATATATACACGAATTATACTAATTATAATAATAAATACTCACATAAAAATATTTTTTGTTTATATATAAATTATGTACAAATATTAAACATTAAGTACAGCATAATACGTATTTTAAAAACTTGTAGCTTTCACAGTAATCAATATATAGTGTTTGCAGAATTTTTATAACTCCGACTCTTTTAATATGCTATCACAGTTAGTAACGGTTAAAAGTTGAACAGTATCGCCAATGTCCAAATAATTAAAGAAATCTACTGTCGCTGGTAACCAAGTAGTAGTTACATACTGATCTAACACAGGTGTAGGATTTCTGAAAACAAAAAATATTTTTATCTTACTTTGTTATCATCTTTTCTGCAACAATATCTCTGATAATTACCCCGTCTTTGCAAAATTGGTCCACATTCTCGTAAGAATTTCTAATACTTTTCGATCTTTTGTACCTATTGCCGGCGGTTCAGGATCATCAATTTTATATTTAGGCTCGTAAAAAAGGTATGCCATATCATCAGTATGAGAAGCTCCTAAAAAATTTCGGTTACGTTGAAATTATAAAGTAAATAGCTAAAATTAATTTTTCATCAAGAAAGTTTTACAAATTGTGTAATTTCCGTATGCATACCGAGTGTAGTCAATTTATTTCCCATAAACTTTGTCTGAGTCATCTGGTTGCCAACGTAGGAAAATTTGTAAAAATAAATCGGTGCTTGCTTTTTTTTCCTTTGTTTATCCACAAAATCTTTAGTGGGAATATCAAGATGCAAGTCACTCAGACATCGTATAATAGATGGGATACTCTTTTCAGTAAATGGTATATTATTAAAATATCGCTGTTTAACTCGTTCTGTCAATTGTATTATTTTTTCGAGATCTTGAGAGTTTGTAAAATTTTCTATGATTCTTGGTAGATCCGTATATATTGTCTTTAAAGCCTTCTCACTGGTATCTATTAATAGATAAATTATTTGTAAATTTAAAAGATCGCAAAGCCATATTACAAACTCAATCATATATAATATTATATTTTAATATATGTAATATATAATACATAATCTATATAACATTTAGTATAAATTAGTTTTGTTAATTTATGTACCTTTAAGAAACATGATATATTCATGAGAAGTACAACCAACTATGATTGGTATATTATTCTCATTGTCAAGTAACTGAGAGACGGGACATGGAAGAAAAGGACTTTTCGCTTTATCATCAATTGTAGGTCCAAATGGGATATTAACAGTGCGTGCTTCCTATACGAAATATCGCTCTTGAATTGACGTGAGTCAACAGTTTGTCCGTAATGTTTATTATTTTAGATGAATAAATTCTCACATTTAATAGTGCAAAAATATTTTAATTTTTGGACGCAAAATAAAAAAAAAGAAAAAGAATATATAAAAAGTAATTTTACCTCTGGAGTGAGAACCTTATATTGCGCTTTGACGATTTCAGCAGTAGGTATTGTTCGAAGAAATTCAATAACTTTTTCAGGATCCTTAGAATCGTTGCCAAGTACCGACGCAAGCTTAAAAGAATTGGCTTCTGGTTGATTTCTTATTATCGCCCAATCACATGTAATTACACCACTCTGAAGAATAGCTTTGTGGAAGAGATCTAGAGGTATACGTATGCGTGCGCGCACATTTTGTGTGTGAGAAAAGAGAGAAATAATATTAATATTTTATTTTTAAACAGAATATATTTTTATTTCATAGTTACTATTTATTAAGAATATGTTATTTACCTTTGGATAACGGTGACAACGTTAAGAAATGCGTGCAAGCGCTACCTGCACTGACACCAAAAACAGTGATATTGTTTGAATCTCCGCCAAAAATCTCGATATTTTCCTTAATCCATTTTAATGCGGCAACTTGATCTTTTAAACCTTGGTTTCCGCTTGCTACTTCGTGATTAAGATTCAAGAAACCTTAAAGAATAAAAAATTTTTAATTTGTATCAGCAAACGATATATAGATATACGTATGTATGTATGTACAATACGTGTTTTGCTCTGTATCTTCTGCAAATATGTGATAAGAATTTTTCAAACAACTTCAAGAGATATACGTTTTCTTGAAAGCTCATATCTTACCCAAAGCACCAAGTCTATAGTTTATAGACACTAAAATGACATCTTTTGCCATAAGGTAATCAGGTCGTTTGTGAGTATCGTTGCCGGAACCAATAAGATAGGCTCCACCGTGAATCCAAACCATAACTGGATTTCCTCTTGTCCGATAAACATTGTACGGTATATAAATATTAAGGTAAAGACAGTCTTCGCTGCCGATAACCGCTTGACCTGACGATTGTTCCAACTGTGCACAAACATCGCCAGCATTTTTGGAAGCGTCTCGAATACCTTCCCAGGGAGCAGGAGGTTCGGGATCCTAATGATTTTAACAACAATAAAATATGATTTAATATCATAAATAAAATGACATTTCGCAACAACCATAAAATAATTAAAATTGAGCTATTATTGTTTTCATGGTACGTAAATATAATTTTAATACGTTAAAATAATTTTGAAATATTTTTAAACAAAGATACAATAAATATAAATAAAAATATTAAAAATTATTTGAACTCGATAAATAAATTACCTTAAACCTCAACTCGCCTACTGGTGGAGCAGCAAAAGG